ATTTACATTGGCTGTTATCTTGTCTTAGTTGCACAGGATGCTTCCTGATAAGGGCTCTTTGCAGACTAGGAAGGATTTACTGTGAGGGTGCCCAGAGCAGCTGGGGCTGCCCCTGGCAGTGCCCAAGGCCAGGCTGGATGGGGCTTGGAGCAGCCTGGGACAGTGGAAGGTGTCCCTGCCCATGATAGGGGGTGGAATGAGGTGATTTTTAAGCCAGGCCATTCCATGATTTGAGGACTGTATGAAGATTACAATAAAGGTTCCAAGGTTATGACAAATCAGAAGTGGCTCACAAGTCTTTGTCAGCATGAAGATCCCCCACCAGCTCCAGCTGGGTTTAACAAGTTTCTCTTCAAGATATCCAAAACCTGACCTGAACCTTTCTCAGGGCAGCTAGATAAAATCAGTGTGGTTAATTACCTTACTGCTACTATAATTAAGGAGCACTTTATTCATACACCACTGAAACAGCTTTTGCATTTTACTGATCTCCCCTGCTTGCTTTGAACAGCTATGAACCTGAACTATTCCCTGGCCTGGTTTATAGGATGGTCCAACCAAGGATAGTGCTGCTGATCTTTGTGTCTGGGAAAGTTGTACTGACTGGTAAGTGCTGCCTCTCTGTGTCTCTACCCACTGCTTCACTTTCTGAGAGCATTTAAATTAAACATTAACTAAAATTCAGTATCTTGCCACAGTAAAGCCACTCGGGGATCTTTTTAATGCAGTTTTATCTGTGTTTTCTGCAGATAACATCAGTATAGTTGCACTAGAATCTTGTATTATTTCATATACAGAGTCTCAGATTTTGTTGAGATGTTAAGTATTTTTTTATTCAAAGCCTGATGCCACGTGCCAATGCAGAGGATGCCAACAGGATGCTGCCATGCCAGCAACTGCTCAGGCACTTAAATAGGAACCTCACAATAAGCAATTTAAAATTGCTTGGACGGGAAACAAACTTCTTAAAACACTTCACTGACAACATTTAGTAGGGATTATAAGGGAAAGGGTGGAGATCTTAGAGCTTGTTCCAGACTGCTTGGCAAAAAAATCATGAGGCAAAAGCCTTGCTGAGTCAGTGTGCTCAGCAGATACCTGTACCTCAGATCCCAGGTGTGACTTTTTCAAAAAAGGTGAATTCCTGAGCTCCTGGCACATCCTTGTTGTGAAGCTCATGAAAATGCTTCTATTCAGATGTACTGAAAGGTGAATGGTGCTTGATCCCAGAACCTCTGAATGTGATATTCATGTTCACAACACAGCTTTGGGAGTGGGGAAGGCAGGAGAAGTGCCTGCCTTAGCCAGAGATTCTCACAACCATAAATCAGGAATGAGCTCAGCCAGCTGAAGGAGGGGGCACTCAGGACAAAGCTTAAATGCTTCCCCCTCCAATGTCCACAATTTTCTTAGGTCTAGTAAAATTGTACTGGTCAGTAAAATCATACTGGTCAGTTCCATTCCACTTTCATTTTTGGGGTACACTGATTGTAATGGCCTTGCTGCACACTCAGCCCTTTGCTGTGAGTCCTGGGCCAGCTGTAATGACAAAACTAAATTTGCTGAGATGTGAGGAGGGTTTTCTCCCTAATCAAGACAGTGACTTGACTTTTGAAAGTAAAAGTTGCAAGGCAGATGAATTATTTGTGTCCAAGTAAGGACATGAGAAAAGGTTTACACATTCAACCTAAGCAGGGCTTAATTCCACTTTTAGTTCATTTAAGTGCAGTTTTCTTCTGGCTGATGTTTGTTGGGCCAGCATGAGTAGTGTTGCTGGCAGGGGATATTCCTGCCTACTGCAATGCAGTTTGTGTGCAAAACTTGGTATTAAAGATTTGCTACCAGTACCACAGAAAAGGATTTGAAATCAAAGGTGTCCTAACACACGGCTTAAAATTAAAATTGCTTCTCAGAGCTGGAGAAGGAGAGTTCTCAAACTGTGGAACAACTCCCAGTATGAAATAAAGGCCTTTCACCTCTTGTTCCTACCTTTCCACTCACCTCATGAACAGACAGAGCTGTTATTCTTAAGCAGATAACACGATGGTGGTGCTCAATTGCTTTTTTCCCATCTTCAAAGCCAATATTTTGCACCTGTCAAGAGCAGAAAATTGCTGTTTTGGTTCCACAGGTTAAACAAAACTAGTCTTAAAGCTAAGCAAGCTGGAAAATGCTCTTTGAGGTGACAGATAGAAATTCTGCCTTTAACAGTGAGGTGCTTTCAGTCTCCTGGGTTACTTCATGGTTTGTAATCTTATGGGGTTTAAACTGCATTTAGTTTAAGTTCAGCACTCTTAATTCATGGTCTTTTTTATCTTAAATGTCCATTTAGGAGCCAAAGACCGTTCTGAAATCTATGAGGCATTTGAGAACATCTACCCCATTTTAAGAGGCTTCAAGAAACCATCGTGACACAGCTCCCAGAGCAATCCAGAATAACCCCTGGGTTTGTGTTGCTGTGCTTGGAGCAGAACCAAGGGCATTCCTGGACACATCTGTGGATTATTAAGCAAATTATTCATTCCTGAATGCCACATACGCTGATGCCGTTCTATAGCTTGTGAAATGTTCTTTTCTTTCAGATTATCTGAGTTCTGACAATTTCTGTCAAGTTAAAGCACTTGATAAATGAATGCACTTTTAATAGAATGTATGTTAGGGTGGCACTTAAAAATATTTTGTAATCAAAGCCATGTGTCTCTTTCCCTGTTAAACAGATGAATCCACACTGCACTTCCAATTGGATTAATCAGAATCCTCAGCTCTAAGTGTCTTGATTTGCTCCTGCAGTGTTGCAGTTTCATGTTTAAGCTCAACATATATAACTGTCTATAACATGGCTTACAAAATCCTGTATGAGCTGATTTTGGTGTTTAGAACACAAGTGCTGGAATCACTCTGATCCCACTGGCTGGGTAAACTCTTGTGTGTGAGGGTAGAGGATTTTCTCTCACAGAGAAGACATTCCAGGTCCTGACTGCTGGAACACACACGAAAAGTCTGTGGGTGGAGGGCTGTAACTAATTAAATTATCTACTTTGACATGGGACAAGTTAGATTTTAACCAAATGGTCCCCACTTGATGGGAGATGATGGGAGTTTGGTGCAGACAAAAACATGTTGGTTTAGAACTTTGTTAGAAATGGATTTAAGGAAAATACAAAAAGTCTTGGATGCTCATGGCAATTTTAATTATCTGTGTTATTTAACCATAGTTCAGCCAATGGCAGTAATTTGATAATTTTGGAGCAAAACCAACGAGGTTTCCTGTACTTGGTTTGAAGTCAAGCCTTTCTTTTCAGAAGGTGTCCTGCCCAGCAGGAACAGGGCAAAGCCTGTCCCATGGCTGCCCTGGAAAGCCCCTGGAAGCAATCCAGAGCAGTTCTGCTGTGCCCTTCCCTGCTGAAGGTGTTGGTACCTGTCTGCAAACACCACTAGAGGCTGCTCTTAGATGATTTAAGTGTAACCCAGCCCAAAATCCTCCTCGGTCCTTGCTGGAAATACTCGGCTCAACGCTCAACAGGGTCTTGCTGGGCTGAGTTTTGCTGCCACAAAAGTTTATTTCTGATTCGGTGAGGGTGTGGCTTCATCTTCCGTATCTGTTATGTGTCTCTCACAAGTGGTTTTATAGCTGTCTCCCTGCAAACTTTGGAAAACTTTGTGCACTTCCTCACGATAAGCTGGTCTTAGCTGTTATCAGTGTCTCTGTCAAACTCTGGATTTCCACACTCAAATCTATTTTAAACACAGGCTTACTTTTCTGTTTGCTTTCTAACTTTGGAGACTTTCCACGACCATGGGCTGGACTTTTATTTGCACTGTAGCTGTAGAAGCAGCTGATGAGCTTCAGTTAGAATAATGTTTTGTAAGTGAAAACACCCTGGTTTTATTGAGATGTTGGGGGGAAAAAAAGTTTATCTAAGATGAGCCCTCTTCAAGAAATCACGTTTTTGCTTAAGAGCTTGCCACATGATTTCAGTGGTAAAATTAGTGTTCTTTAGAAGCACAGGTAAAGCTGCAGAGATAAGAAATGGGCTCTGTGCCTTTTCACTGAGCTACTGATTAGGTTAATGTTTGCTATGGTAACTCTTGTCTTAAAAACAACAATCTTGGTATCTTGGTTCTACCTCCACAGTGCTGTTCCTGCTGAGTGTTTGATAACACTGGGAAGGGGGGAAATAGAGGCTGGGAATTGCTCTTAAAAGAAAAAAAAAGGTAATGTGTTGTTGCAGTTGTGTTTCTTTTGGGAAGGGGCATATGGGGATATTGCTTAAGTTACTCTGAATTCTGTGGCCTCTGTCTCCTCTAATTGCCTACAGACAGAAGAGGAAATTACTTCAAAATGAGAGTAGGTTCCTATTAGGAAATACTAGCTAGCAGGAAAAAATTATTTACTCAGAAAGGGGTGGTGAGGCCCTGGCACAGTGTGCCCAGAGGAGCTGTGGCTGCCCCTGGATCCCTGAAGTGCCCAAGACCGGGCTGGACAGGGCTTGGACACCCTGGGATGGTGGAAGGGGCTCCTTTTGAGGGCAGCAGCTTGGAACTGGATGATTTTTAAGGTCCCTTCTCCTCAACCCTCCTTCATCCTCTGTCTTTAACTCCTCATCGTCGCCCCACCAAGGAGGCTGGGTTGTGGCAACCTCCCTCTGTCGGTTTTCAGGATGTGCATCGCTATTTGCCGCTTGGACAAGGCGATTTGGATATTACTGTAAATACACGGCCGCGCTTTCGCTGGGAGCCGCAGTCCCCACAGCAGCGTTACCGCCTGCTTATGCTACGGCTACCCGCTGTGAAGCCCCGCGAACCAGAATACAACACCCCCATCGCTCTGTGCCGATCCCAGCGGTGCTCCCTTTCCTCCCGCAGAAGGCAAAGGGCGCAGTTTTTATTAAAAATTAAGATTTTTCCCGCGCCCTCCCCCGCTCCCTCCCGCCGCCTCAGCGCCCCTTCCCACAATGCCCTGCCCGGCAACAGCGTCCCACGTGACCCGCGGCCCCAACATGGCGGCTCCCAGCGGCCGCCGGCCGCAGCCCGCGGGGCCGGGCGGGGGCAGCGCCGCCGGGCCCGGGGCTCTGCGCGGCGCCGAGGAGGACGCCGAGGGTCTCTACGTGGCGGTGGAGCGGTGCCCGCTCTGCAACACCACGCGCCGCCGCCTCACCTGCGCCAAGTGCGTGCAGAGCGGCGACTTCGTCTTCTTCGACGGGCGCGACTCCGAGAGGTACCGGCGGCGCTGAGGGGAGCGGGGCGGGCTCTCCCTGCCCGGCTGCGGTCGCTGTGCCTCGGGGCCGGGCAGGGGGACAGGGCTGTGCCCGTTGCCCGCTGTCCCGGGGCTCGGGGGGCTCAGGGTGTGAGTGGGGAACGCTGCGGGGGCCGCCGGGCCCACCCTGAGACTGGGGGCGGATACAGGACCCTCGGTACGAGCCTTGGAATCATAATATTTTTAATAATAATAATAATTAAGGGGTGACCCCGAGTAACACTCGGTCAGGTGCAGATGTGTCGGTGGCGATGTAGCCACAGAAGCTCCAGGCAGTTCAGGGCACAGAGACCCGTTCGGTGTTATTTCATACGATTTACCTCTTTTCGTCAACACTCCTTAAAATAGTAGTTTTCTAAACCGTTAAGCAAAATTAGGAAGGTGTATAAGAAAGAAAATAAACATTTTCTTGTGGGTATACCCATAAATGTGGACAAAAAAAGTATCCACTTGAGTTCATGGTGTGGCAAGTGGAGCGCTGGCTCTGCCTGGGTGAGCGCTGTGCCCATAAACAAATTCCCTCCTGGAATGACTCAGGTGGCTCCTCCAGCGCTGCTGTCCAGCTCAGATTCTTCAAAAGTCCCCAGGGCCGTGTCTGGAAGGGCTCTGATCCTTGGCTGGCACCGTGTTCCTGGTGCCTCGTTGGGAGCGATTCCTGGGGCTATTTTGGGAAGGGTCTGGGGTGGCCGTGTCCTCGCTCCAAAGGCTCCTTGTGTCCCCAGGAACGCGGGGACAGTGGTGCCTTTCACCCACCAGCACCCACGGCAGTGGGGAAATGCTGTCAGCCAGTGTGAGTCAGCTTGAAGATCTCAGACTTTAGTCTGTCACTAAAGTCTGTCTGTCTGTTCCCTTTTTTAATGGAAAAAAAGCTGTGTTGGAGAACCACAAACTGGATTTAGCCTGGCTAAAATAGGTGGAAAACGTGGAGTTGTGTGAGACTGCTTGGGGTTTTCTGCAGATTCTATTAAAAGGTTGGAAATGGAGCTTGGAATATAAACCAGGTTTGGGTTTTTTCCTGTCTCTTTTGCAGCCTTAAGTTTTTGGCTAAACATCAGGTTTAATTATAGAAATTCAATTGTAGCCTTTGTTAGAGTTGAAGCCCTGTTGTTTTGTATTACCCAAGGCTTAAGAAGTCTCTGCCCATCAGGAAAATGAAGTCATAAAGGAGCAGCTTTAGCCAAAGTACCAGAAGCAGCAGTGTAAGAGAAAACCCTCTTTATCTTCTCACATGAGACAGGATCAGCTTTTCTGTCTGACAGTTGTCACTGCATCCTCCTGAGAAGCTTTCACTGCCCCACTTGTCTGTGGCTGGAAAGGCTCCTATATATTTACCTTGTGTTTTTTAACTGCAAGGATTAAATCTCTTTTTTTTTTTTCTTTTTTTTGGTCTTTTTTCCCCCTTCTCTCCTGGAGATCACTGTTCCATCTCTGGGGGTTACTGCTGTTGTGTTAACCTGGGGCCTCCCTACACACTCCATTTCCCCAGGCTTTGTTTCTCCTGCTGCTCAGAACTTCTCCATCAATTAATTGCAGTAGTGCAATTCATTAAAAATGGCAAATTTATTTTAATGAATTAAAGGAACAGCACTCCTGCGTGAATAACACAATGTTAACAACCTAAATATCCTCAGTGGCTGCAGGAGCTCTGTGTAGGGACAAAAGCTTGGGTTTTGAGGATAATGGGATTATGTTTAAACCATGCCTGAAACGTTTTGTTTGCATTCTCTAATTAATATTTGGAATGAGTGATTTAAGAGTGGGGAAGGGGTCGGTTTTCTTTGTTTGCTCTTTGTGGGTGTCTGAATTTCTTGTGGTGTGAGCCCTGGGAGAGGGGGAGATGTTTGAAATGGTGCCCAGGGCAGAGCCATGCAGGGACAGGTGCCGTTCACTGGGGGCCTTTCAGCTGCTGTTTACAGCCACCCTTGTTTGTTTGTTTATTTATTTTATGCCTTCTAGTAGTGCCTGGGTTAATTTTAGATCAGCCACTGCTGGAGGAGTGTCATGGCAAGGGCTTTGCTGAGTGGCTCAGTGTGAGAAATTCAGAATGTGGAAGTGTTTGGGGGCACTTGGGCCTCCCATTTGTCTTTTTGAAGTGTTGCAGATGGAGGAAAAGGATCATTACCTTCCTGGTTAAATAGAAAGAAACCAAGCATTACTCCTTGTATCCAACAGTGATTTATTTTTAGAATTTTCTTGTGAATTTTCCTTATATGAAGACAAACAATTTCATGTTCTAATTATTTCAGATTTCACGGGATTATTTTGTGAGCTAACTTTTAGAAGAACTACAGTAAAACTGGAAGTTTTTCATCTGTCTGGCAAAAATCACACTCCATATCTGTGAGGGGGAGAGACTGAGGAGCTGTTAAGATTAATGACTTTAGGAGAGCTACAATTAAGGATGAGTAGTCCAGAAGTCCTGCAGTAGAACAGTCACTGCCATCCTTCCTTTCATGACTGATGTGTTGTGTGTTCAGAAGCCAAGCTGGCATCTCGGTGTTGGTCTCAGCTCAGAGCTTCTCCTTCTTCCTGGGAGTGTCCTCCAGCCTGGTGTGTGCATTAATTCTCACAGTGTGTTCCCCAGACTGCTGAATTGCTTTGCTTTGTGCATCTGCAGGTGGCAAAAGCCAAACTCAATGTAATTGTGATGTCTGAGCCTGGCTAATTTCTCCAAGCTAAGGGTTCTGGTGAGGAACAGTGATTTTTTCAGCAGTTATAGTGAATATTGTGCCCTCAGCTCCTTCAGCATTAATCAACTCCTGTAGATTAATATCTAGATTAATGTAGGAAACCCCTCTCTCTGGTTGCTTCTCTCTGATCATGAACATGTGGAAATAAGCCAGGCAACCACAGAAAATCTCACCTTAATGTGATAAGACTTGAGGAAAGAGAAACATTCCATGGGCAATTCAAGATGTGCTCTCCTCTCAGTTTACATTTGATGGGAGTTCCTATAATAATTCATCCCAAGTTTTGTTTCTTTGCCAAATTGAAAGGCTAAAGATGTATAAAGAAGGAGGAGTTGCAGGATGCAGTGCAGTTGAAATCAGAGCTATATAAAGCAGTGGAAATGTTTGCTTGGGAGGAGGCTGCTGGAGGGTTGGTAGGAGCTGTTTGACATCGCTGCCGGAGCGCGTGGTGAGCTGCAATTTCTTCCACAAACACTTCTGTCTTCCCTCCACAGCCAGAGCTTCATTTATCCCTCTGTTCTTTGACAGATCATTCAGCTTTTTGCTGCTGTGATGGGCAGGATTGGGTGATTCTGTTCAGTCAGGGTTTGTGCCCACGAATCCAGCTCAGAAACCAAGAACTGCCAGGTGCCCCCAGTGCTCTGCCTGGGTGAGCTCTGTGTTTCTGGGCCAGGGGATTTCTGGTGGCAGCCAAAGGTCGGGGTGCAGGAGGTGTGCTCCGCTCTCTGGTAAACAGGAGGCTCATGCAGGGCCTTTTGTCATTTCCAGGGTGACTCCTGGGCTGAGGACACACAGGAAGAGGGGATGAGCTGGGCTGAGCAGCTGGCCTCCAGTTGCACCACATTCCTCCAGCTCACGTGTGGCCTCTGGCTGTGGTGCCAAGCACCTGCATTTGGTTTGGGTTTGTTTTGGAAGGAAAACAGATTCTTTTGCTTGACTACAAAAGCAGCAGCCTGTGGTTTTGTTGTTGTAATGCTAATGTCATCCGGGAGGGTGGTTATTACACACACTATGAATCCAAAGGTAGTCACCAAGCTTTCAGCACTTGAAGGAAAAGACTTGAAGCATTTTGAAGTTTTACCTCAAATCAAATCCATAGAGTAATAGAGAGGGAAATCCAAGATGTCATCTTGTCAAGGCTTAGTGTACTATTCTTCCTAAATAAAGCTTAAATTTCCATGAAATTAAGGTAAAATCATAAAATCATATGGTTTGGGTTGGAAGGGACCTTAAGGACCATCTAGTTCCAAACTCTGTCATGGGCACCTTCATGCCTCATCCTGCCTGGCCTTGAACACTTGCAGGGATGGAGAGTCTGCAAATGTCACAGCTCTGGTAGGATGAAATCATCAATTCTGTGTGTTGCAGAGAAAAATAGAATGAATTGTGGAACAATAAGGGGGGCATAACGTGGCTTCTGTATACTGAAAGGGTGAAAACACAGGGTGATGAATCTGAAAAAATTCCTTTCTGATCAGTTCCCATATCCTGGAGTCCAGTGCAGCAGAGCTGAAGCAGGCATGTGGGTCATGGGCTATGTGAGATAGTGCTGTTAATTTCTCCAGTGACTGAAGGCCTTTTAAAGTACTCCATGTTTTTTGTAACACACAAAATACTGCTCTTGCTAAGCTATAAATCTAGAAATAGCAATAATTTGCTATTTGTTTGATAGCTCAAAACTCTGATGTTTCTCCAGCTTAGAGGCTCTGTTGCAATTCCAGTGAGACTCATGCTCTAGAATTCTGCAGGAGTTTTACACATTTAGCCATTAACTTCCCCAGATCAAGACAGATAGCTGAGGTTTGGAGAATCCCCAAGCTTCAATTTTATTCTCTTTTTCAGACAACTTACAGTGCTGTAATTGTGCAAAATATCAATAAAAGAATTTAATCTCTTCCAGGTTTTCAGACAAGAAAGAAAGGCTGATGCATCTTAAAACCAAACAGAGAGAATTCCAAAAACAGTAAGTTGTATTTATTAAATTGATATAAAAGCTAAGAGATCTCATAAAAGGAAACAGTCTCTTTTAACACACTGTTGCTGCAGACAGATGAAGTCCAGATAGTCATAAAACTTTCATGTTTTTTTCCTCTAGTGTTTTGAAGGCCATGGAAGGGAAAGAAATAACTGATCAGCTGGTGAGTTGCTCCAAGTGTGCCATGGTTTTTAAACTCTCTGAATTCCTAGATCTCATAGTTTAAAGTTACAGTTTACCTTGAGGGCATTGTGGTGCTTTCCCAAAGAGCCTGTTGTAAGCAAAACTGAAATGGGCTCTGCCAGCAGAGTGCTCCAAGCTGTCTGAATTTTTCATCTCTCACTAGATATTTGTTCAATAACTTATTTTACTGATTCACTTTATACTAAGCACCATTTTGTTTGTGGCATTCTTCTGTGCACAAAGCACTGTATGAAATATTTAGTTGTTTGATCCATTCAAGAGCATCCTGCTACTTTTTGCACTAAGGCTTGCTGGCTTTGCTGTTAATCATTAGTTCAGCATGTTTGAAGTCATTTGTGCCCTAGAGTTGCTGAATGTTCTTTTTCAGAGATGGAAAATAATGTCTTGCAAGATGAGGATTGAGCAGCTGAAGCAGACCATTTGCAAGGAAAATGATGAAATGACAAGACGTGAGTAATGCCTGTGCTTTTGTGATGTGGAAAATCTCCCTGTGCCTAAGAGTGAAAAATCAATTGAGGTGAATTTGAGTGTTAGTTTTTTTTAAAAAATGGTGAATTTCCAAAGAGTTGCTTCCTAAATCAACTTGAAGGCAAATAAGTGAGTGGATTTTGGCTTTTTATGCTTGGGTTTTAATTAGCAAACAGCAGACATTATTCAGCTGGATGGAGATGGTTTTGCAGCAGCTTTAAGAGCAAATGCTTAGCAGCCTGTAACTCTGGCTGTGTCCCTAGAGATGGCTTTATTCAGTGTAGTGTTTCTGATCACTTCCTCTTGATAAGGAGGAGCAACCAGCTCTGCAGCTGTCACAGATTTCCTGAAACTGCTGAATTTTAACCCACACCTGTCTGAAAATCCTAAAATCCTACTTGAGCAAGAGTCACTGAAATTGAGGTGTAGGCTCCATTCAGAAACTTCAGTCTTTGAAACCCATCAGATTGTTTTACACTAAATTTGCAGGGTCATTTTCAGAAGAGAATGTGCAGCTCTCCTTACAACTGGAAGTAGAGGAAGCATATTCAGAAGCATATTGATTGAATCTGGGATATTTTTATGGCTTGAAATTCAAGAGGAGCCATACAGAGAATGGAAGCAGAGGCAGAACCTGAGAAGAGTCATAAAGGATTAGCACAGGCTTGGGGTGAAAAATCAGAAAGGGTGAGATGCAAAATTCTTTTCAATTAAAAAGGAGATGGATAGTAACAATAATAAATGGGTGATGAAAAGGTGAGGGAGCAGAAAAGTGTGTTAGTTAACAGGAAAGAGAGCAAATAACAGTGCAGAGAAGTCTGAGGCATTCATTCACTGCTGCCTTTGCTTCATCTTCCTGCAAAGAAAATGGAATCAGCTGCTTAGCCTGGTTAAATTTGACATCATGAGAGGACTCAGTTGCAGGCTAAGGAAAGGAAAAAGATAGCTACACGTTGGTTTGCTTTATGGAAGCCAAGGAACGAGCTGAGGTGGTCTGTGGAGCACTTGGGAGCCTGTGAGGGTGTGTGAGGAAGCTGAGAACAGTTCCTGCTTCCAAAGGGTGCAGCAAGGCAGAACCTCAGAGTGATGGCACAGGAATCCTGTCACACACCCAGGGGGCTCTGCTGGTAACTGACAGGTAAAAACAGCCATCACTTGGTTATGGTATTCATGTCAAATCCATGTTTTGTTATTTATGTCATGATATCCATGTCAAATCAACCCCTCAGTGGGGATCAGGTGCTGCAGTGGAGGATGAAGCAGTAGCTGCACGTAGCTTGGATTTGGGCACTGCCTGTATTTGTGAGCAAACAAAATTTGCTGTGGGTGTAACCCCTGCAAGGTCATTATCACAGAAGGTTAGAAAAGCTTCATTCAAAGAGTGGTGGCACTGGTCAAGCTGAGGAGTTGAGGCAGGTGGAGCTCAGCAGTTCCTGGCCCAGTTCCTGGCAGTATTTCCCATAATAGCTCAGCAGAATAGAGGGTGGAATGGAGCAAGCCAGGCTGGATGCTGAAATGACTTCTGTGGAGACCAGGACCAAAATCAAAACATGCAGATGAATAGACAGCATCATCTGGAAAGGACGAAATCAGGGTACACATTGTTGTTAAGAGAAACATAAACCCAGAATGGGGGATGGTGGTGAGATTTGGCAGGAAGGGATCTGGGGAATTGCAAATTAAATAAAAATTATCAATCTTGTGCTGCTCCAGAAAGGTTCAGGCCTCTTTCTGGGTTAACTAATCTAAGTGCTGTATTTAAGATGGAAGCAGTAATCCTGCTGTGCCAGGTGTTGTTGTTGCTTCAGTGGAAGCCTGGTGTCCAATTTAAACAATTTAAGAAAGATACAAATCATCTGAGGAAAGTCTGAGCATTGGAAATGAAATAGAACAGCTCAGAAAATTCATGTTTGGTTTAGAGAAGAGGAAGTTGAAGAAAAACAAGCTTGTCAGTGGGTAGAAGATTATTGTTATGGAGATTAGATTATGACTTTTTGTCTTTTGCCTGTGAAGAAGGAAGAAGAGGAAATCAATGTGCCTTTAAGGAATTAGTCACCTCTTCTCAAAATGCTCTGCTCTGGAGGTGGCAGAGTTAGGACCAACCAGGGAGTGGAGTTCTCCATATTCCCACTCTTCTGTGGAATTTATTATCTGCAACTTTTGCAACTTCTCTTGACTCACAGTGAATTTGATCAGATGTAACCTAAAAACTGAGCTGACTATTGCCCAACTAACCTATTGTTAGCTCAGTTGCTTTTGGAGAGAGACCAGGAATGAATTCCAGCTGTGAGTAGCCAACAGATCAGGATCCAACTTGGTCACTTTAAAAAGTGTGAAAAGGTTGTTTCTCTGCTCTTGGGTGTGGCACAGTTTAATTTTCTGAAATAAAAACCATTTCTAGAACACTGGGTTCCTGCTTTTGGAGACCTCAATAATTGGTGGTGCTTAAAATAACGTTTTAAAATCTGTGTGTTTGCCTTTTTTCTGTGCAGAGCAGGCTTGCAAATCCCTGGCAGAGCTCTCTGGGCAGAGATCAGTGTGCCTGGGCTTGCATTTATCAGGCAGCGCAGGTGTGTGGGACACAGTGGTGTGCTGAAATTCTCCTGGGGACAGATTTTTAATCCCCTCATGAAGCAGAGGTGCTGTGCAGAGGGCAGGACAGTTGTGTGTGCATTGGAACTGCTGAAGAGGAAATTTCAGTGCAGTGTCTCCCCTATTCCCAAATAATTGCTGTTGGACCTGCAGGGAAGGGAGTTCACTCTGAAAAAGTAGCCTTTCAAGTCAAACATGAATGTGAAAATGGAACAGCTGGACCTTTTCCTCCTTGTCCTGTCTCCTGTTCTTTTTGCAAAGGGAGAGTTTGGGAATATGACTGCAAGTGTTAATTGATTTTTTGTTGATGTTACAGGACTGCTTAAAGGAAAGGGAATTATAGCTGACACATAGGGATCCTGGCATTGCTCAGAGAAAAGTGGATTTTTCTACTGCTCCTCTATCAGGGGTCACTTATTTATATTATATAAACCTGAGGATTATTAGTTCTTATCTTCATGGAGGAGCTTTTCTCACCTCCTTTAATTTGGGACTTTGCATCTCCCACACACCAGATCTTCCTTCCTACCAGACACACCATGGATTGCAGCAGATCAGATGACTGGAAATAATTCCTGATGTTCAGAGAGAGCAGCTTCTGTGTCTGCAGGGGCAGGCACACCTCAAACTAGGGCACAGGGAGAGTTTTAAATGTGAATTTGGGGAGAGCACAAGAAATCTTTCCCTGTGCTTTTAAGAAACTGAGGTGGCTGACTTTCATTACTGCAGCCACTTATTTTATATCTGAATTAGCAGATTTTGGGATCATCAAGGTTGCAAAAGACCTCTAAGATCATCAGGCCCAGCCTTGGATGCTTCAAGATTCTCTTGCAGGGTGTTTTTCCAAGCCTCACACGTGGAGTGAATCCAGGCAGTTGCAGCCCTTCAGCCCATGAGCACAACTCCCATTTGTGAGTGGAAAGGGAGATAGCCAGTGTTCCCTGTGGGAACAAGGAGCTGCACTGTTGGGATCCATGAGAGAATCCCAAATAACCCACACCAGCAGCAGCACAGGTGCCAGGACTGGTGAGTGAAGGTGCTATCTGCACTTGATTTTGGCTGCAAGCAGGGCAGGGCTTTCTTGGCCAGCACGATGCAGACGTGTACAGTCAGGCTATTTCTGTCAGGATGATTAGCTCAGGAGTTTAATTAAACTGGGAAATCTTGGCTTTTGTGCTCCAAATCCAGAAATAGCTGGGTAAAAGATAGGGAAAGAATAATCCCAGTTGCAGTCTCTTTGGAGATCTCCAGAGGAGATTAAAAAGTTGTACCACTGAGCAGCTGGAAGAAGTTCATAGTTTAGCAGGGTTTTCTGTTTTAAGCTGCCACAGATCTTGTTTTCCATAAATATTAATAAAGCTTTTCTCAAGCTTTTCCTACAAGCCCTTCCCAGCTCCTTTTCCAAGGGATAACATCTGCTGCTGCTCTCACAGACACAGAGGGGCTGCTGAGGATTAAAGAGGAGAACCAGAAGCATTATCGCAGGGCTCAGAGGCACCAGGAGAAGAAGGAGAAGATCCAGAAGCACAACAGGAAGCTGGGAGACCTGGTGGAGAAGAAATGCTACGAGCTGAAAACGCAGTACGAGCACCTGGCCAACCTGCGGCGCGCGCACATCCTGGAGCTGACCTCGGTCATCTTCCCCATGGAGGAGGTGAAGACAAGCATGAGGTATGGCAGGCTTGTCCTTTTGGGATCCTTTTGCTTGGTTTTAGGCACCCACAAGGGAGTTGTGTCAGTCTGAGGTAGGTGGTCTGGCTCCCTTAGGGTCTGTGAGGAGGAGGAGTTGTGGTCTCATCCACAGGTGGAGGTCCAGGATGGAAGAATCTGAATCTGGAGGTGCTTGCAGCTCCCCACTGAGAGATATGAGCTGCATTTCCAGTGTTAAACTTCCTTAAAATATGGATTCCCCATCCTTGGAAGTGTTCAGGGCCAGGTTGGACAGGGCTTGGAGCAGCCTGGTCTAGTGGAAGGTGTCTCTTCCAATCCAAATCTTTCTAGGATTCTACAAAAACAGGTATTAAAATTCCAGAGCAAATGAAAGTAGTTTTGGGAATGAGGACTTTTGCAGAAGTGGTTTATAAGGTCCTTTCCAACCCAAACCAAACCATTCCTGGATTCTACAAAACCAGCCAATTAAAAACCCCAGAACATCTGAATCTGGAGGTGCTTGCTTCTCCCCACTGAGAGATATGAGCTGCATGTCCAGTGTTAAACTTCCTTAAAATATGGATTCCCCATCCTTGGAAGTGTTCAGAGCCAGCCTGGACAGGGCTTGGAGCAGCCTGGGATAGTGGAAGGTGTCCCTGCCCATGGCAGGGGTGGAAGGAGATGAGGTGTCCCTTCCAACCCAAACCTTTCTAGGATTCTACAAAAACAGGTAATTAAAAATCCCAGAGCAAATGAAAGTAGTTTTGGGAATGAGGAGTTTTGCAGAAGTGGTCTATAAAGTCCTTTCCAACCCAAACCATTCCTGGATTCTACAAAAACAGCCAAATAAAAACCCCACAATGAACAAATGACAGCAGTTTTGGGACTGAGGACTTTCACAGGAGCGTTCGTTCCTACCAGCGCTTTGCCCTGGGTGAAGCCCAGCTCAGTGCCTGCCAAGTGTGTGTTTGATTCCGTTGCCAACCACTTGTTTGCACCCCCTGTGGGCCCTGCAGGGACCCAGCAGACGTGTCCTCAGAGAGTGACAATGCCATGACCTCCAGCACTGTGAGCAAGCTGGCAGAGGCGCGCAGGACCACGTACCTGTCGGGGCGGTGGGTGTGCGACGACCACAACGGGGACACCAGCATCAGCATCACGGGGCCCTGGATCATCCTCCCCAACAATGGGGACTACTCTGCTTACTACAGCTGGGTGGAGGAGAAGAAGACTACACAGGGACCTGGTAAGGGGCAAGGCATGGTTTTAGGCAGCTGGGACGCTCTGGGTGCCAACAAAAGGCAATGAGGAGCAATAAACTGGTCTATTTGTTCTCAGCCTGAGCCAGAAATAAATGCCAGAATGGGGTTTTAGGAGAAGATTCCCTGCCCAGTTGAAACTAGGTGGTTTTTAAGGTCCCTTCCAACCCAAAGCATTCTGTGGTTTTATGACTAGTCTGCTGAAATCTTCTTCTGCATGGAATTCTCACTGGGATACACAGCACAGTGAAATAGAGAAAGTTAATTATTCACAGTTTTGACACAGTTCACTGTCATCATCTTAACAGGAATTCCAAGAATTACTATTTTCTTCCAACTTCTGACAGATTTCACTGGAAATGACTGCTAGATTCAGGCTGTTCTCCTTGCTTAGAAATGACATATTCCAGAGTAGACTCCAGGAACATATTAACACACCCACCAAGACTTCATTTAAAACAAAGATTTCATGTTGTTTTTATTTCTTTCAGATATGGAACATAATAACCCTGCTCATACCATCAGTGCTGCATTGTGCTATGCAACTCAGCTTGTTAACACTTTGTCTCTCATACTTGATGTAAATCTTCCCAAGAAGCTCTGCAACAGGCAAGTAAAAACACAGCAAGGGAATCAGTGACCTTAGTTTGAGCAAAAAAGTCATTAACTGGAGCAGCTTTTGATAACATAGGTGGCTTGTGGATTTTTGTGGTGTTTGAGAGGAGGGCTAGCAGGATTTTAGACCACAGTTAACAGTCCTTCCCTCCTTTTTTATTTCCTGAGAGGGAGACCAGCCATCAGAGTTAAAAATAACACCTCTCTAATTGACATATTCAGCATCCTCACATGAGAGATGAAATATGGCAGTGCACAAATGGCACTTTTCATTTCCCTGGACCCCACTGTGCTCCACAAAATCCCAGCCCAATCCAGCAGCTCCTGAACAGCTCTGCTGCCTCCTGTGCTGTGGGACAAGTGCTGTAACATGGCATGGCAGCAGTGTCATTCCAATGGCATAAAAATCCTAGGAGTGAACCCCATATTGGGATGAAGAGCACTGTTAGAGTTTTGGTGTCTGTGTGGAGCAGCTGGGATCTGCACCACGGGTTCCAGATGTGCTGCTGAGATTCTTTAAAGTGTTATAAAATAATGGCTGTCAAACTGAGGGCACAAAAGTTGTGTAGGGTTTCAGCTTTTTGCTGTGGCTGAGGGGTTGGAACCAGATGATCTCTAAGTCCCTTCCAACCCAAACCCTTCTGTGATTCTCTGATTTTGGGTGTTTCTCTGTTTGGGTGTTCAGCCCTCACAGAAGGAGAAGGTTGGGAACAGGAAATGATGCAAGACTTTAAAGGAGATCTGAAACAGTTTGGCTCAGGTGGATCTGAGTTCCCTACAGTTCCCACCACCTGTCCTGTGCAAACTGGTGAGGCCAGGGCAAGCAGAGCTTGCTGATAAAATGCTCACAGTCCTGCTAGGTTTAAAATTAATCTCTTCAGCACTCTAGAACTGGCTGCAGACAAGTGCTCGCTGCGAGGATTTTTACTCCAGGATTTGTTAGGAAGCCAGGGCATGGAATGCTGATGCCTCCAGTAAATGCTGTATTTTCACAGCATTTTGTTTTGTCTGTGATTTTGTGTGTGTGGTGTTTTAACAGTGAATTCTGTGGGGAGAATCTCAGCAGACACAGGTTCACACGGGCAGTGAAGAAGCTGAATGCTAACATCCTTCACCTCTGCTTCTCTCAGGTAGGGGGATGCACATTTCATATCTTTAAATAGCTTTTTAAATATCAGCTCTGCCTGCTGGTTTCCTTCAGGACCTGATCATGGTTTGTTTTTTTTCCCTTCCCCATGTCAGCATGTAAATTTAGATCTGTTGCACCCCCTGCATACCCTCAGGAACCTCATGTACCTGGTCAGCCCAGACACCGAGAACTTGGGCAGGTAAGAAAAGCAAAATATCAACTTCGGAATTGATGCCTTTGCCTTGTTACTTGTGAGGGAAATTCTCTCCTGGTGTGCCTGTGGATCAGTCCTCAGCACAGAAATCAGGGTAGGTCCAGGAGGAGGAAAGACTGCACAGAAAAAGGGGCTCCTGAGTAGGGAAATTAAATTTACAGATGTGTGTTTGCTGTGCTCCTGCCTATGGCAGCTCAGCTGGAGGCTTTGCAGTGATGATGGACTCATTTCCCCTACAGCCAGGAGCAGGAACTCCTTTCCAGGCAGCTCTGCCATGCTCCCAGTGTGACCCTGCCTGTGCCTTGCCAACATGCAAATACCTGAGAGCATCCAGAAATACAAACCCTGAAAAGAATCCCAGGCAAACCTTTCCCAGAATATTTCCAGTCAGTGAACTGCCTAGACCAGAGCTGACCCTTTAAATAATACTCATTTATATGTAAATTAAGATTAAAGACAACTGTTCTCTTAGCTTAGAATGTGATGAAAAGAACATCAGTTCTGGCATGCACACACCAGGTTTAATAATTTATTTCCTTTTTTTACAAGTTAAATCTAAGAAAGCAAACAACACTGATTTCCCCGTTGGGATAACCCAGACACAAGTCACTTGTGCCCAAGACAGTCTGCAAATATTTGTTTGATGTGCCTGATATTTTATTCCCCCCTTAAACACAGTGAGTGATGTTCTGAAATCTGCTTTTCTGCTTTGTTCTCTTGTATGGATCTGGTTTTATTCAAAAACCTGCAGTGCCACTAAGAGGAGCTGCCTGTTCCCACTTCCTTGTGTTCTCTGGATCTGTCCCTACTGAGCCAGCCCACAGACATGGGGAGCCCCATCTTTGTAAAAGATTTGGACAAAAATCTGTGCTTGCTGCCTGAAATAGAGTGCTGGAAATAGCCAGAGGATGGAGAGCTGTGTCCTCAAAGGAAAGCAGCTGCTCTGAAGGGTGCAGGGCTGCAGTGGGCACTGTGCAGGTGTCCCAGGGCTCCCCATGCATCAGCTGGGTGCAGAGAGTACAAGGGTTACAGGAGAGCTGGATAAGATACCCAGCAGGCTGCTGAGAGGCTTTGCAGACACCACTGGGAGCAGAGAGCCTGAGCTGCTTGAAATGAGGCACATGCACTTAGCAGAGACAGTAATTACCCACAGGAATGAAGGTGGGGATTCTGCTTCCTTCTGTCGTCCTCTCAAGGCTGGATGGGTTCCTGGGATGCATGCATCATCAGGCAGGAGTTGCTGGGCTCGGGACAGGGAGGAGGGTGGGACTCAGGAGGTCACTGGAGATGATCTAATGGTCCCTTCTGGCCTCAACCCCGATGACTCCTCCTTGTGTTGCCTTGTGAAGCGGGAGGCTTTGCCAGGAGGCAGAGCTCCCATTGCTTTCCAGATGATGAAAGAGGAGTGTTTGCCTTTCATTTCTCAGCTGGCTGCAAAGTTTGCAGCAACCAGCTCTCTTTGTTTTCCTTTAGATACCTAAGCTGTGGTTGCCTGACAATCTCCTTTATATGCTGCTGGTTTCATATGCTTATAATTTTACCAAGCTTTAATTATCTGGATTAATATTTCCCATGACAAATCACTGCTTAAGGCTCCTTCTCCCACTGAGGCAGTATAAACTCTGGCCTGTGTTTAATGGTGGGACTCAGTGATCTGGGGGGTCTTTTCCAACCTAAATGATTCCATGATTCCATCAAATTCCTGCTCATGTTCACGGGGCAGTTTTGTGGCTTGGAGTGAGCTCTGTCAGGGACTCTGCTTGCTGTGGGGAATTCACCTTTTTCCCTGGAATACAGGAAGCCCAAAGCAGTGGGATGGGATGGGCAGGATGCAATCGCCTCTCCTACCAGGCAGTGGCAGCAGGGAACTCTGAGTGACAGCACAGCTGGGACCCTGCAGGACCCTGGGGATGCAGCCGTGGCCCTGCCCAGGAGAGGCCGAGGGAGCTGGGGCTGTCCAGCTGAGAGGGGCCCTCAGCCCTGTCTGTCCCTGCCTGCAGGGAGGGCTGAGAGACAGAGCAGGCTCTGCTCCAGGGGCCCAGCAATGGCACCACAGCAACGAGCAGGAGCTGATGCCCACAAATTTCACCTGAATGTGAGGAAGAACTTCCCTGTGCCGTGACCGAGCCCTGAGCAGAGACCAGAGAGGGTGTGGAGCCTCCCTCACTGGGGATATCCATCTGGACCCAATCCTGTGCCCTGTGCTCTGGGATGACCCTGCTGCAGCAGGCAGATGGGACCAGATGAGCCACTGTGGTGAATTCCAACCTGAGCCACTCACTCATTCTGTGTTTGGAGTGTCCCCACAGGAGACCCCTCAGCCTCTCTGGGCAGCCTGTTCAGTGTCTGGCCAACCTCAGAGTGAGAAAGAGCTTGAGGTGTTGCTCGGGGCAGAGTGAGAACTCTCCACTGCTGAGTTGTGCCAAACCTGGGAGGTGCAGAGTACAGCCAGGCAGAGCTGAGCTCTCTCGGTGTTGGAAATTAAAGCTGCTCCACATCAAGGCAGGATTCCCCTCAGTGAAGCCCTGAGTTATCACCAGTAGCTTTCTCTGCTGTGTGTTTCTCTGTCCCTGCCAGAGCAGAGCTGCTCTCCTTCCCACCGTTCCTGCTCCATGGTCTGGAACCCTGTCCCTTCCTGGGCCAAGTGTTTGTGTCACATCCAAGGGGTGACACCAAGTTCCTGCTCCATGGTCTGGAACCCTGTCCTTTACTGGGCCAAGTGTTTGTGTCACATCCAAGGGGTGACACCAAGTTCCTGCTCCATGGTCTGGACCCCTGTCCTTTACTGGGCCAAGTGTTTGTGTCACATCCAAGGGGTGACACCAAGTTCCTGTTCCTGCTCCATGGTCTGGAACCCTGTCCTTTACTGGGCCAAGTGTTTGTGTCACATCCAATGGGTGACACCAAGTTCCTGCTCCATGGTCTGGAACCCTGTCCTTTACTGGGCCAAGTGTTTGTGTCACATCCAAGGGGTGACACCAAGCTCCCTCTGCCAGCTGATGGAGACAGGGCACTTCATCTCTGCTGTGCCCAGGCTGCTGTGGGTGGCAGGGCAGAGGCACTGATGGTGGCCTCCCCACAGGTCCGGCCCCTTTGAAATCAGCGCCGACCTGGAGGACTCCATGGAGTTTGTGGAGCCGAGCGCGGCGGGCGAGACGGACGAGAGCGGCGACGAGCGCGTGAGCGACGAGGAGACGGACCTGGGCACGGACTGGGAGAACCTGCCCAGCCCCAGGTTCTGCGACATCCCCTCCCAGCAGGTGGAGATGCTGCAGAGCCAGAGCACGCAGGCGTCGCAGCCCATCGCCAGCAGCAGCGCGGGCGGCATGATCTCGTCGGCCGCCGCCTCGGTCACCTCGTGGCTCAAGGCCTACACCGGGCACCGCTAGCGGGGCTGTGCCAGCAACCCCTCCCTGACTGGGCTCTAACCAACCTTTACCTATTCAGTTAAGTAGTGCCTGGAACAAAGGAAAGGTCAGACTTCTGTTTTGTAAACGGAGAAAACCTTTTTATTTCCCCAAGATGACCGTGAGGGCCCCGTTTTGTAAATGAGCTCCGTGCTGCCCACGGATCCTGCCAGGGCACTTGGTGGCTTGGTTCTGTCTGCATCGAGGATTGGCAAAGGACCCAGCGACCTCCAGCTCTACTTTCTGAAGAAGAATCAGATTTTGGAGTGTTTGGATCAGGAAGGCTGCTCAGGGTGCGGTCTGGACAGCGGTGCAAATGCAGTTCCCACTTTCTTAACTCCTTACAGGGTTTTCCTTTGTGTGTGTGTGTGTTTTAAATCTGTCTTGCATAATGCAAAAATGTGTATTTCTAAATTTTTTTCATTCAGGACATGAAAATTATGCATTTTTAACATGTTTTCTAATCTCTGTTGCCATATTTTTAATACAAATGGCCGGCATGGACAGGGAATTCACACAGCAAATTGCTCTTGGTTTAGATTTGGTTGTGAATCTTTACCCAGTTTTGCCATAGAAAACTGGCTTGTTTCATGCTGTTTCCACTGGTAGGTGTAGAAGTTTTGTGTTGTGCTGAGGCACACAGGCTCTGTACTCTTAATACCATACACCAAAGAAACACTGGACATTCTCTTGCTAGACCCACATTGGATGCTGATCCAGAATTGCATTGTTGCAATAATATCCATCGGTTACCACACCATGCTGCCACTTTTTAGCATTAGACAAACCCCATTTCCAGCCAGTTTGGTGAAGTCACGTGCTCTCCACACTACATGTGTTTGTAACCCTATTTTATTGTATGTTCGTGGTGGGGTTTGTTGTTTACTGACTGCCAAGGAGTTGGTTTGGTTCCCCTGGCTCCTGGAACGCCGGGAGGTGGGTGCTGACTTGGTGAGCAAGGGCTCCTCCTCCTCCTCTGCCCTGCAGGATGGGACACCCTCGGGTGGTTTGCTCAGCAGAGCTTCCAACGTTTACATTTGGGGCTGGGACAGTTCCCCCACAGGGCCAGCCAAGGAGGAGCCTCCTGAGGGTTTCTGGCACTGCCCCTCAGCTCCTGACGAGGACATGGTGACAGAGGCCACATCTGCCTGCTCCCAGCTCCAGGGCTGGCTTTCCCAGCACCTCACAGGGTGTTTGTGCTGGATTTCTCCCTCCCTCTCCAGGCTGGCCAGTGCTGCCCCTGTCCCCACGCAGGAGGGGTGACAGTGACACCCATGTGCCACTCACCCCTCCACGGCAGCTGCTTCTCTTTAGCCCTGAGCTGGGCATCCTTTGCCAGTAGTTTCCTCTCATTTTTCTTTTTCTCTTTTTTTTTTTTTAAACCAAAGACCCTTAACTCCACACGTCGTCAGACAACGCCAGCCTGTCCTGCCGCTGCTCTGCTCCCAGAGTTGGGTTTGTTTTAGGACAGCCCAGGCCCCTGGGCTGCTGCAGCTGATGGGAGCCATGGCCCAGCCCTGCCCCAGCCCCTCTGCCAGGCTGGGCTCCCCTGGCTCTCAGCACTTGAGCACTCACAGCTCTGAGCAGCCAGCGCACGCCAGTATTGCAGACTGGGCCCACAGCCCAGCCCCTTTGCTTCCCCGTGGCTTTTGCACTGGACCCCACCATCTAAATACCTTTTTGTTGTTGTTTTTTAACAGGCATTTCAGTCCCTTTTTCATTGCTGCCTTTGTGCTTTGAGCCCCACGAGGTCAGGCCACGACTCGGCTTCGTGCACTGTCACTGAACTTAGGGAAAGAAAATCCAACACAAGAACTTTTCTAAGCCATATTCTTCCTATCCATGTTTTCCAAAATAATTTATTTGCAACCGTGTCATACTCTGAGAGTGCACAAGGGCACCCTGGGGGTGTTCAGATGTGTTGGGATGGGGCTTTTCATGGAACCTTTTTTTGTAACAGAACACAAGGTTGTGGTGGTTTTTTCAAAAGTGTTTTGCACATGTGTAGCTGAGGAAGAATTGTGTGTGTCCAAACCTTGAGTGCAATCACCAGGATTCGTTTCCCAGGTTATTTCGGGGGGGTGAGGGAGGGAGGGAGGGAGGGCAGGAATATCCATAATTATAAATATTTGAAGGCAGCCAGCTGAGAGTTTACAAAACTTTTTGTGTAGCATGAACACGGGAATTTCAGTTCTGGCCAGGATTTCTGGTGGTGATCAGTGACCTGGGGTGGCCAATTTGGGCTGCCAAGGAGGAGCCTGATTGCAGGGCCCAGCCCTGTGCTGAAAATCAGGTGCCTGTGCAGGGTCAGGGTGGGACACCCAGGGTGGCTTTGTCACCTGGGGAAACTCACGGCCCCCCTCTCACAACTTCCAGACTTAAGATGTAACTAAACACAAATGGTTTGGTTTTTTTGGGTTTTTTTGTTGGTTTTTTTTTTTCTTCTAAATTTTATTGTATTATTGCAATAAATCTTTAACAATAATTTTTTTTAAAGTTGTATATTTATGACTGTTACTTCTGTGTGGTTTGTTTTTCACCGTGCTGGGCAAAGTACACAAGAACTTCCAGCCTTGGAAGCATCACAGGGACCAGACCTGTTACAGTGCAATCTTACAGAGGTGGAATAAGCAATATCCATTATAAAAAAATACTCTTACATAAAATAACTGCATCTCCATGGGAGCAGGGGTGGAGTCCTGCACAGCACACAGACACACACACATCCCTCTGTGTACATGAAAACCTCTTGGGTGTGCTGGGGATGTTTCTGCAGGTGGGGGATTCCTTCTGCATGCAAAGCTCCTCGTTCCAGGCTCATTTCAGGGTGCAGGAAGGATGGAGTTACTCAGGTGAAGCAGTGTCAGTGACAGGGAAAGGGCCCAGGGATGCCCACAGGCCCTGGTGGTTCACAGGCTGCTGTGAGCACACAATGGAGGACAAACCACCCCTCCCACTCCATTTTTTGTGATTGTGGGATGGGGAGCACCGATGGCTCTGTGATTCCTGGTGCTGGACACGCAGGGCTGGGAGCAGCAGCCAGCTGGGGCTGCTCACACAGAGCTGGCACTTCATGGCCTTGGTCACAGCACAGCCAGGTCATGGCCAGGGCAAAGCCAGGTCTGGGCCTGAGCTCAGCTCCCAAGTCTGCTTAGGCAGGACCAGCAGCTTTTGTCCTCTGCCCACCCTGGATTGTGGCAGGGGAGCAGCTGAAAATGTCCCCACCTGTCCCTACCCCAGCACTGCCTGGAGCAGCCAAAGGCAGGGGGCAGGGGAAACAGCCCCAGGTGAGGCTTCAGCACCATTCCCACCGTGCAAGAAGGGGCAGTTGAGCCTCAGGTTGGATCTGTCAGGGCAGTTTTGTGCAGCTGGGAAATCTCAGAATGGTTTGGGTTGGAAGGGACCTTAAAGATCAACTTGTTCCACCCCTGCCATGGCAGGGACATCTCCCACTGATGCACAGTGTCCGGCCTGGCCTTGGGCACTCCAGGGATCCAGGGGCAGCCACAGCTGCTCTGGCACCCTGTGTCAGGGCTTCAGCACCTTCACAAGGAAGAATTTTTTTCCCAATCTCTCACCCATCCCTGTCCTCTGGCACTGGGAGCCATTCCCTGGCTCCTGTCCCTCCATCCCTTGTCCCCAGTCCCTCTCCAGCTCTCCTGGAGCCCCTTCAGGCCCTGCCAGGGGCTCTGAGCTCTCCCTGGAGCCTTCTCCTCTCCAGGGGAGCTCCCCCAGCTCTCCCAGCCTGGCTCCTGCCCTGGAGCTTTTCCTTGGCCTTCCCAACAGCTCCAGGGGCTGCACGGGGCAGCCTCTGCAGGCCCTGGGTCCAGCACAAGGAGCTGAGCTCTGCTGCAGCTTCCCAGGGTTTCTCCACAGGGACCAGGGCCCAGCAAAGGGAAAAGCTGCTGCAGAACAGCCAGGATGGAGCAAGAGCCCAAGCACAGGCAGCTTTCACAGGGCTGTCCATGCCAGGAGAGCCCCAGAGCTTGATGAAAACTGGAAGCTTATGGACAATAGAAATGTTGTTACAACTTCTCTATAGGCCTATCTGGAAATTCAGTCCAGACACTCCAAATGCTCCCAGGCAGGGAAGTCAAGAACATGATGGAATCTCCCTTCATCCTCAGTTCTAAACACTGAACTTTGTAAATCCAACACTGGATTTTATTTTTTTTTTTAATTGCTTCTTAGGAAAAAAACCCAAAACCCTGACATTCATCAGACCTTGGCTTCTCCCTGAACCGTCCCTTAAGGAAACAGAAATCTGCATTTTACAATGGTACAGGAAAAAAAAAAAAGCCTCCAGGCAGCTCAGCATGGCAACACTCAGAAGCAACTCATTTCTGGATGTAAAACCCTGCTCTGTGAAACAATTTTTAACAGCAATGCTGTGCAGGAGGGACAGTTCCAGCAGACAATGTAATACATGATGTATAAACCAGCCCACGCTCCCCAGGCAGCCTGGGGGCAGGGCAGGGATGGGGTAGGGACAGCAAATTATCCTCTGGCTTTACCTGCTCCAAGAACTAAACAGCCTCATGATATTATTGTATCCTCATTTTTCCCCTTGTTCAACAAAGATGACCAAAATCTCACACCCTGTTCCAAGTAAAATGACCTCACTGGCCCCTTATCTAATTACAAAATATTTTCCTCTGCCACTCCATTCCAGCCTTGCAGGGACTTTCCTTGCTGCTGTCAGCCTCAAGTTTTCCAGAGTCTTGGGTGGAGGAGCAGGAAAGCAGCTTCTTTCCCTTTTCCCCTCATCAGAATGAAGCTGAAGGCTTTTGATGCCGATGGCTCTGGCAAAACAGCAGCCAGGGGGTGGCTGTGCTGCTGGTCCGGGTGCAGCTGGGGGAGCAGAGGGGTTTGGGTGAACCTGAGCCCCGTTAGGGGATGAAGTCAGGGGTTGAGGAGGGATCTGCTCTTCCTCTCCCTCTTCCCAGCCGGTTACAAGGTGGCCACACCCTTCCGTGAGATTCCTAATTTCATTCCTCCTGCTTGTCATCGTGTCTGCAGTGCAAGGAGGCTGAGCAGCTCCGGGAGGGGTGGATGACACCCGCTGGGTGGCAGGAGCAGGTGAAGGCAAAATATAAACCCAGCACATCCTTTAAAGCTCCCTGCAAAGTCTGAGCTCACCAAACCCACATTTCAGGCTGTCAGGGCTTGATTTTCCTTCTCCCACTGTTAAAGGCAAGAACAAAAGCCTTCAAACCCTTTTGTCCTCCTCATCCTCTGAACCAGGTGAGTCACTCCCTGCGAGCCCAGGGCAGGTGGGGGTGGCTGGCTCGGCCCGGCCCCACAGCCAGCAGCGTTCCACACCTCGATCCAGCAGCAAAGGACAGAGGACAGGATGAGCCAGGGGCAGGGCTACCCCATCCCTGCCCTTTCCAGCAGCTCCTTGGGGTCTGAGCAGAGGTGAGCCCATGGGAAGGTGGCACCAGGTCAGATTTGGAATGGTGAGAGCCAAGAGTCCATGTGTGCCCTGAGAAGGGCAGAGGAACAGCACCAAGAGGGACAGGAGGGAGGTGGCAGGGCAAAGGCAGGGCTGCCACGCTCTGCTGGGCTCCTGGAGCAGCCGCTGCCCTGGCCAGGCTCCATCCCCAGCCTTCCACACCATCCACCCTGCCAGGGCTGCAGCAGGAGGCTGAGGGCTGGCTCACAGCACTGCAGGACAGGAAGGGATCCAGGGAAACTCTGCCACACTCCGTGCTCCCGTTCCGAGCGTGAGGAATCGCCGTTCATCCGACACAAAGCTCTGAACTGCCCTGGAAAGCACCAACCCACGGCCCTGGAGAGGCCAGGGCTGCAGCAGGGCAGGCAAAGCACTGCAAGGAGTCTTCTGCAAGGGAAAAATTCCACACAGAGCTGAGAGGAAAGCTTCCGGCACATCACAGAGCCAAGGCAACTCCACACTCATCCTGCTGGACCCACACTACATCCTGGAGCATCCAGGTATCAGGGCAGGAGGACCAGAAAGTGCACCCAGCACCAGAATTCCCAATGAAAGGAGCCCCTGCTGCAGGCAGAAGGAAAAGCTGGAATCTCTGATTGTTACAGCAGGGAGTTCTCCAAGTACTAGAGATCTGGGGGGGTTTTGTTCCTTTGTTAGTAGGAGGAGAGGTTTCCTAGAGAAAGCACATTGCACGTCTGAACTACAGCACAGCACCAAGTTTCTGCCACGTGTTTTACAGCATTTTTTTATTTTGGGGCAAAAGTCTTACAAGAGGAAGTCTGGTAAGGCAGATCTAGAATGCACATTTTATTTATGTGTAAAAAAAAAAAAACCCAACCAGACAACATGAGTAGACAAGAACTTTTTTTTATATTCTGACTATACAATAATATTCCTCTCTTTTCTTTTTTTAATCCACTGCCACGCTACTATAATGGATCTGTTCTATAGTCTAAGTTTCAGGTTGTCCAGTTAAGTTGTCTGCAGCTTCTTTAAACAAGTTGACCTTTACCTATTTAGAGTTTCTTCTCAGAAACATTCATATATTATACAGGATATACAGATTTTGAAACAAGACACTTAAAAACACACACACCTATAGCCGCAACACTGGGATAGCTGCATTGTAGGGGTTACCTTGTTCAGCCAGCTGTAGACTCTGTATGTACAATTAGTTTTTATAGTGTTATTTACAGAGATGGACTAAAAGCTCTCTTTTAATCTAAAAGGTAAAGGCTCTTGTGTTTGAGTATGTGCAGTTTCATAGCCCTGTGGGGGGGAAAAAAAAAACAAATCACGACAATTATATACACTGTAAACAGCACAAGGCATGAGAATCTCCTCCTCCTCCTCTCCCAAACAATCTCAATCTTGCAGGAAAGTGTTTGTGCACTAATATTCCTCTTCCACCTCTGCTCCAGCTCCTCGGGTTTTCTTGTGGATGGTGCGGTTAAAGCTGTGGCAGGCGGGGACCCAGTGATTGTCATGGAGGCCCAGCTTGCAGCCAGGGATGCCCTTCTGGGAGCGGTGGCAGCACATCCAGTAGCCAGGCCCGTAGGGCAGAGCCTGGCAGTAGGGCTTGGGGTGCCACCTGCACAGGGACACGTCTCCCTTGACGTATTTCTTCTTGCACTGCTTGCAGGGATCCTCCCGGTAGCGAGGGTCGCGCACCCAGCGCGAGTCGGCCGGCCTGATGTTGTAGTACTCGATGATGAACTTGAAGTAGTAGCAAGTGCATTTCAGGGCAACCAGGCTCCTGGTGGGAAGCAACCCAAAGATCTTCACGATGATGTGGTGAGGCAAGAAGGCCATGTACTGCTGAGGCTCCAAAAGCTGCTGGATTTTAAACCTGGTCTCCAGAAAGTCATGAGAAACCTGCCGCTTTAGGCAGGAGGCATCAAGTACTTGCAAAGCTCCTTCTGTGGCAGGGACAGAAGGGGCTGATGGCTCTGTAGGGACACTGCTGCTGACACACGATCTACCAGATGCCAGAGCATCCTCATCCTCGTTTTGGGCTACTTCCCCTGGCTTCTCCTGGGGACCCTCCCGCCGTGGCTGCTGCTCGTGAGCAGCAGGCTGCTCACCCTGGAGGAAAAACAGCCTCCCTGGGAGTGAATCCTCACCAGAACCAGAGAGCTTCTCCTTCCTGCACCCTTCCTCTGTCTTGCTGACCGATATACTGATGCACAAGGGCTCCTTCCTAGCGGGATGCTTTGGGAAAATTCCAGGCTCCTTCGACGTACAATCAACAGTCGCGCTCTCGCTCTGCAGGGTATCCGGCGCTAGCCTGGCAGCAGCGGGACACGGGGCCAGCAGGGCCCTGGGGGGCTCCATCCGTGTGTCAGCGTCACTCCTGCCAGCTGTCATGGCCAGCACCGCCTGGGCAAGTCCCGAACTCACATTCCCCACCCGGGTATCCAGCCCCGAAGGAAACGGCCGCGGGGCAGAGGCGCCGCCATCCCAGAGCTCGGTGTCACCGCAGCGACCCCCAAACCCATCCCCTGCCACCCCTGCCCGTCCCTGGGGCGGGCCCCCCTTGCCCAGGTCCCCCTCGGGCTGGGTGCCGCTGGCCAGGAGCACCCTGCCCACGTTCCTGCGGAAGCTGTTGTTGCGGGAGAGGCTCCCGGCCTCGCTCTGCCGCCTCAGGCACTCGGACTCCAGCCTGGCCACCATGTCCAGCACGCGCACGGGCTCGCCCTGCGGCTCCGCCTCGCACGGCCCGCCCGGGCACGGGGGCTCGGGGCCGGGCACGGCGGCCCTGGGCTGGGGGCTCAGCCTGGTGCCCGCGCAGCTCTTGGCACAGTCCGCCAGCAGGGCGCTGGCCCGCTGCTCCAGGAACGCCACCATCTCGATGACGGACAGCGAGCGGCCCGGGAAGGCGCCGTCGGCGCCGTCGCCGCCCGAGTGCACCGAGCAGTGCTCGATGCCGCAGGCGAACGGCTCCGGCTGGGAGCACCTGGAGTTGGCCTCCCTCATTCTTTCCAGTTGGATTTTGGCTTTTTTAAGATCCACCGATTTTTTCCTGCGTTTGGCCGTCCTCCCGTCGATGTCCCACGTGCTCTTGATTTTCATGGAGCCCGTGCGGGTGCCGCCGCTGCTGCACTGCTGGGCTGCAAAGAAGGCGATTTTCTCCTTGGTGTTGCCGGGTTTCACCACAGCCCACACATCCAGAGGTCCCTCTCCTTCTTCTCCCTGGTGGATCGTGGCAGACAGGGCGTTCTTCTTCTCCCTCGCGCTCGGAGCGTCCGCCGGGCCCTTCCCGTTCATATTGCACATAGTATTTGGATAAATAATCCCCAGAAGCTTTTGAGATGGAGCCACCAGGGAGGGTTTTTGGAAAACGCTCAGTTTGGTGCAGTTGGTGAATTTTTCTCCTTGTGCTGGTCCCTGGTGGCCTCGAAGGGAATCCTGGCTTATTTCTGGGGATCGCTCTTTCTTCTGTAACTTGAGATATGGCTTTAAGTGCATACCAGAAACCCTGGAAAAACAGAGAGGGAAGAAGTTATAGTTGCAAAATATGCCTGTCTGGAATTAGAGAAGGTGGCCCAGAGCAGGCACCAGCCCACACCTCAAGAGGAACCACATGAGAAAGGAAAAGAGCCACCAAGGCTGCAATATCCACCCCTGAAGAACTTCCTGCAGCAGGAGAGAACTTCCCATTAGAGAAATCTGTTTCCAAGCAGTTGCAAGGAGAAATGCTCCAGTTTAAGTTGTATCAGTTGTGAAAACATAGCTAGTGGTTCATTCTTGAGCTAGAGCCATCCTTCTGCCTGCTCATTCCTTGATCCAAGGCAAGGCACACACGGGTCACAGGCTTTATCTGGACTCAGCTACCACACACACTCTTTTCAGTAGATAAAATGTGGTTAAAGCTCAAAAGAGAAATTAGCAAGAGTAATTATATTAATCAGAGATCCCAGGGGATATCTAATCTCCTCCTATCACCCAAAATCACACAGCAGTTTGGGTTGGAAGGGACTTTGAAGCTCATTTTTTTCCACTTCCTTCCACGGGCAGGACACCTTCCACTATCTCAGGTTGCTCCAAGTCCCATCCAACCCATCCTTGGACACTTCCAGGGATGAAGCAGCCACAGCTTCTCTGGGCAATGAAGCCTTTCCTTCAGCACATTGATAATGGCAAATTTGGTGACTTTCCCATAAGGGTGCTTATGTACTCATCAATGTCCCCCCAAAGTGACAGCAGTGTGACATCCTGCTGAGGACACCCACTCTCAAGGATGGGATTGCACACTCAGGAATTTCAGAGCTGTGAAAGACCCCTTGGATGCTGCTGACAGTGCAGCAGCAGCCCCAGACTCCTCTGTCCTGTCATACCTCCACAGTCACCTTCCCTTCAAAGCTCAGGAATTCAGAACATAGGATGCAACCACCAGGAGACCCCAGGCTCTCACCAGCACATACAGAACTAACTACAGGTTATGTTTCCATGGTAATCTTTGAGTTGTTGCACTCAAAGGCCTCCTCCTCGGGGATGATGTGTGCTCAGGAGTGAAGAGCAGCAGGTTCAGAGCCATGCTCATCATGAGCTGGCACAGACACACTGAGGCACTGAACGTGTTCCCCTTGAGAGCCAACACCAACAGAGTTAAGTGTGGCAACTTTGAGGTTTTTAGTTAAAAGCTGGTTTTAGGCTAGAAACCTACAATCTGTTGGTCTATAAAGTCCAAGAAATTTATAAGTGATGCTGCCCAGGAAGAGGAAGCTCCAGGACTAGAAGCAGCTTTCTCTGGTTCCTCCTTCTGGCTCTAGTGACAACAAGGGGGACAGACAGAGATTTTGGGCAGCTACATCAAGAGGAAGGGCTCAGCTCACCTTTCTGCACCTCTGTGGTCCAAGCAGGGCTTTGAAGGCCAGGAAACAGCTGCTGGAAAGGCAGATGTCATGTTCCTTCCCTCTGGATTTTTTAGGGAGATCATCACCTGGCTCTTGCAACCAGACAATGCCACAACCACCTGCATCTCACCTAGAGACAGTGGGTAAGAGATCCCAGTGCTGCAGACACACACACCCACCCAGCCCTGGGTTAATTCTCTGCCTGTGTGCCAATTCCAGCTCCTTGGAACTGGGTCACCTCCCAGTTTAGTCTCCTCTGCAAAATGCAACTGAGCTACTTTGTTTGCCTCCTCAGTCAGATGCTGAAAGCTAAAATAATCTCATAAAAATAGAACTTCAGGGCGTTGGAATAGAGGCACAGAGAGAAAAATGGGAAAATGAGGCTGCTGGAGTTGGCTTTGGCCTCATTTTTCACAGGGGCTGCCTCCCTCTGGTTGTGCTTCACAGTGAAGCAGGGTCAGGCTGCTGAGGTGACCTGGCCAAAGCCCAGCCCAGAGGAGCAGCAGGTGAAGCACTGCAGCAAAGTGCTGCAGAGAACAGTGCCTGCAGCCTTTCCCTGCCCTCCCTTCCCTTCCAGAAGGACATTTCCCAGACTAGGGAGGGAAAAGCTCCAGTGGCTGCTCGCCACCATACCCTGGGGAGAAGAGGTGAACACAATTAAAACACGGCTTTGCATGCTGAGATCTCCTGAGCCAGGAGCAGGAGATCAAATTTCATTCATCAGTTTTGTGCCAAGGTGTTTGAAAGATGAGCTGAGCTTGTTTTTTAAAAGGCTTTCTTCAAGCAGTTTTGAGGAATCCAGCAGGACAATCAGCTCAACACCCTTCATTAAGAGAAGCTGCAAATGGAGGTGAGAGCAGGGATTATGTGAATAAAACCAGAGCCAAACTGGTTGCCCCAAGAGGCTCAGGGGACATGTTCAGCCAGCAGAGTTGGTTCAGCTGCTCCCAGCTATTTCTGGTCCGTGGAGAAAGACAAAGGGTAAAGTTCTGCCTCACCTATTACAGATTCCTTGTTTAAGGTTATATTTCCTATGTTTCAGTTAGTCCCTGGCTAAGCCAACAATACCATTTAAGGTTGAAAAGTTATAATTTACATAACAAAATTATGCCTTAGTCAGAAGTTTTACTGCCAGAATAATTGCCTCATTTGAATTCAGCATTCAGTTCACTGCACATGTTTTAATGGATCTGGATTTAAAGAAAACCTTCATCTAATAACTTCAGACAGCTATAAAGAGCTCTGCAAACTCCACAAGACCAGCTGCCACCTGCCTCAGAGTTTTCCAGCAGCAGGGAAGAGAACTTTCATTTCAAAAGCCACTTTAGCAAGGAGCCTTACCTGAAAGTGTCACTTGGAAAAAACGAGCCCCCAGCTCACACGCCCTTTGCTGTGGACATTGAGAATGAACTTTCAGGCAATCACAGCTCCTTCCCTGCACACCAGCAGCACATTTCATCTCTAGCTCCCACAATTAGATCAAGGCTTCCCAGCAGAAATTGCTTTGAAGATGAACCAGAGCCCAGTCCCCACCCACAGACTCCCCCGTTTCTCAGTGCTGGCAAGCACAGAGCTGTGGCAGCTGCAGGTAAGCTTTTAAATATTTAAAACCACCCAAAAATAGTTGTTAAAAGGTGAAGTCACATATTCCCTATGACACTCCATTCCAGAATAATTCTGTTTGCTTTCCTCCACCCTTTAAGTTATCAAGCTCTCTAATTTTATCTTTAGAGACGACTCTTCAGAAGTCCACGGGAGCAAACATAAAAGGTTTTCAATCCCAAATGTGTGGTTTTAAATTGCTGATAAGAGAGAATTCTGCCAGGAGTGATCAGCACTGAAACAACGAGCAGTGCTGCCTTTATAGTGTTATTCCATCCTTAAGCTGATGAAATAAAGGGGCCAGTTTTTCTATTTCTAATCAGCCATGTCTGAAAAACAGGATACTTGCACTGCTGGAATGAGACTGCTGTTTTTGTAAATCCTAACTACAGCTTGTTTCCACTGCACTTTTATCAAGCTGGTTACTACACATTGCTGATACAGAAATCTATTCCCTTCTATGAGCTCAGATACTCACACACCCCTCTCTCCCCACCCATAACCCACTGGTGGATTCCCCATCCCTGGAAGTGTCCAAATCCAGGCTGGATTGGGCTTGGAGCAACCTGGTCTAGTGGGAAATGTCCCTGCCCATGGTAATGGGGTGGAATGAGATGGGATTGAAGGTCTTTTCCAACCCAAATCATTCCATGATTCTACTTGCCAAGCTGGCCAGACTCTTCCAGCATCCTTCTGTGTTTATGTATGTTCTAAATCACAGCAGCCTAAAACAATAATATATTTGCTTTAGTGGAAACTCCAGAGTTGGAGGCAAAACTGGTAGAAAAGAATCAGTTTTCACAACTCCTTTCTAAGGTCCACAGAGAGCCTTAATTCCCCCTGGAGCTCCCAGCTCAGGGGCTCTGATGATGCCCTGTGAAGCCAAAAGATTTCCTCTGGCCAGCAAGAACAACAAGGACAAAAAAGCCTGATCTTCACAAACACCATATTCACACTGCAAGTTTTCTGGGCAAAGCACTGGAAGGTTTTATTAGGGGGAAAATTTCCATCCAAACCCCCAAGTTTCCTATGGATTTCTCCCTGTAAACACCAACTGCAGTTGAAAAAAAGCTCCTCACGTTGCTGACTGCACACCCAGTGCCAACTACAACTCTGAAAAACCCCTCAGGACATACTAACACAAGGCAGAAGCCCAAAAAAAAAAAAAAAAAAAAGGGAAAAAAATCAACAACAATAAAAACCCCACACCTCTGGCAAAGCATTCCCCTTCCCTGGCATCCCAGCTCTCTGTCCATGGAGTTTTCCTCCTCCAGAAAGGACACTGACAATTAGCAAGGACTGAGCACTGAGTGGGAGTTAACCACACTCAACCACTTGTTATTTCTGGAAGGGCTTGGTGGGTCCTTTGGGCTCCATCTCCAGCACCATTTCCATCCCCTCTGCACTGCCAGGGCAAGGCAAAGCAGACAGAGAGCTGCTTCAAAGGCATTCCAGGGATTCTGCTGGGGAAAGTCCCGCCATGGAAGGCTCCCTGCACTCATGGAGTTTGTTCTGGAGCATGGCAAGGCTCCAAGCTCACAGAAAGGAGGGCTGGGAAGCTCCAGAGCAGGGCTGGGTTTGACTCTGGCAGCTGTGGAAGCATCTGATTTCCTGAAAGCCCACTCCCCTTGGAGCAGCAACTGCTCCTGACCCAGCTCCCAACACCTCCAAAACGCCTCTTGCAGCAAAGGGAGAGCCAGCAAGGATTAGAGAGGGATTGGAAGGCAAACAGAAGGCACGTGGCTGCTGAAGGAGAGCTCTCTGCTCCAGTGGCCAGCCTGGGGCAAGGGGGAGAAAGCCAAAACCGTGGGGCAGAGCTGGCCCAGCAGAGCTGAGGAGATAAATGCTCTGTAAGAACCAAACTCCTAAGGCTGGGTCCCTCCCCAGCTTGTTCACCTGCATCAGGTGCTCAGATAACCTGATTTTGGGGGAGACAACCCCAAACACAGCTGCACCCAGCACAGCCAGGAAATCCATCCCACAAAGCCCAGCATCCCACAGAGGTGCTGGGTGACAGAATGCACCCCCAAGCCCAGCACAGACCCCTCCACTCTGAGGGCTCCCACCCATCAATGTCTTGAACATGTTTTACACTAAACACACACCCACCCTTCAGTAAAGCACAGTTGCCTTGGCTACTTCCTACATTTTGCACAGGAAGAAGTGCCACAGCTTTGCCAGGCTTTTGTATAAGAGCACTCACCATGAAGGGAGAGATGCAGCAGCAGTTCTGTGCTGAGCCTCAGGAAGCTCAAAGCCCTGCTGCCCAAGCACACCAGACATGACAAAGCAAAAGGGAATAAAATAAACTGAAAGATTTGGAATTCAAGGTTATCAGCTGCATCCAGAGATGATGGGATGGCACACGTGGCTGTGGTGGGACACGATGAGGGGAAATCACAGAGGGACAGCAAGACAAAAACTGCTGCTTTTATAGGGCTTCTGCTGAAAGGTAAGTGCCAAGTGTCCTTCTGGAAGTGTTTTACATTGATTAATTTGTTTCCTGATTTATGAAGTGCAAGAGAACCTTTCTTCATATCACAGTGCAACAAATTCCTTGTGCTAAGGAAGCTCCACAGAGTGATGCTATTTATAGCCTTCATTGTTGTGCATATGCAATGAGAACACATCAAAGGTTGCAGAAATTAACCTTGGACCACACCATCTGTAACAGACTCAGCATTCAAAATAAAAACAAGCAGAAGTAGAGTTGAAAGCAGGTTGCCCTTCTGAAACTCAAGACTGAAAGAAACTGGTTGATGAATTCAGGATTTCACTGCACACTGCATTCTCCAGGAGTCTGAAGGTGTTTTCATTATTAAGAACACATCCCAAACAAAAGACTCAAAGCAACTCCAACTGGATTTGATCCTTTTTTGTGAAGGATACCAGAAACAGACACAGGTTTCAGGTCACATCACTTGGAAACTTCTATCTTAGAGACCAAAAAGTCCAGGAATAAACATGAGAACTGGTGCAGCGTTAAGTCACTGCAGAGATATTTAACAACAAAGAAAAACTGAAAGGTTTTTTTTCCAGTTTGTGAGAGAAAAGAGAAACAGGGTTGCAAGCAAGGGCAGGGCAGAGATCAAGAGTACAACACAAAATACCAAATTTGACTTTGCACCATTTTTAAAGAGGGGAGGTAAGGGTGATGATGAGGGCAAAAGCCCAGGCGTTAATCTGAACAAGAGCATTGGCAGGAGGGGGATTAGAGAGCTTCATAAAAATTGTGAGGATTGGCTCATCCCAGTTTCAGAATCCAAACCAGATAGGCTCATGCACTGCAGGCCAAGAAACAGGATTTATAAACCTCTTGAAAGGCAACAATAGGAGATAATAAACATGTGGCACATTGGAGGGGGCACTGCAGGGGAGAAAGGGAAGGAGAATGATCACAGCCTCTCCAGGGCTCCTATTCTGACTCCAACATAAAGGTGCTTTGCAAGCAAAGAGGATTAATGTGACACACAGAAAAAGGGGGAAGAGGGAATAGTTCAATATGCCAGACTAACCTCAAGGTTCTCAAAAAAAGCCATCTTTTTAGAGCAATCTACTATATCTTCCTCACATGGACTTCAGAGAGCACAAAGAGATTTACTGGCTAAGACAGATTGGCAGAGGAATGGGAAAACAGACAAAGGAACTGGCTTAGCAGGAGACAGCCCCAGGTGATGCTGAATAAGAAAATACCAGCCTGGAAACCAAAGACATGCCTCAAGAATCAGCCCTGGGAACATCTGACTTTGTTAAAAACGACCTCAGCACTAATTCTGCACCCACAGAAACAGAGGCAGCTCCAAAACAGCAGAGACACAAAGCTCAGAGTAACAGGAACTGAGGAGGTTTGGAAATGCAGGCAGTGATGCATCAGCAAGAGGGACACCAACAAATTTTGGAAGTAACTGAGGTGAACTGGCCACCACAGAGACATCCATGAAATAAGAAGTGGAGGTGATGAGGAAGCCCTCCAGGCAGAGCAGTCCAGAGCACAGCACACACTTTTAGCCTGGACTGAGAATATTCTGTGAGGGGCATCTCACTGAGAACAGCAGCAATTGCTACTCAGGAAGCTGCTAAAGAACACTTGGGTCACTCAGCAAAACCACAGGTGAGGGTTACAACCCCCTCTTACAGAATGCAGAAGAAGAGGCAAACCACTGAAAATGAGCAGCAGTCCTTAGGCAGAAGGGAAATAAAGGAACAGAAACTCAAATGAGTCTATAAACTGTCATGAATGTTCAGCCTGGGAATGAAAAGAAGGTTCCTAATTGCACAGCAAGATCTGTCATCTTCAGTAATGGCTTGATCTACAGGAGGAGAGAAGAAAAGATGCAAGAAAAGATGTAAATGTTTTTAGGCTGGACTAAGTTCACAAAAGGGATTATGAGATGCTGCTTGGCAAAGCAAGGAGCTGGGTGACCCAGGAAGTCTTTTCCAGCACTAAATTACCATGAGACTAACATAGCAAGTATATGCTGTCTACACAACCACAAAGAACAAAGGTTAAAAGTTTGCTTTAAACCCACACAGCCTTTGGAAACCAAAAAGCTGGCGCTCTTCCTCCAGACTGAGGAAGTTTAAGAGCCTTGGTTTCAGAAAAAGAATTTAAAAAAAAAATACACATTTATTTGGAAGTAGTTTGAACTCCAACAAACTGGCATGTCCTTGCATTTGCATGAGGACAAGTTGTTCTGCATGGTGTTCCTATAAGTGAGAGGCATTCACTTAATTGTCACATAAGCGCAAGTGTTTGAAACCAATCGTGCATTTCTCCTTAATAAGAGACACAGGAGAGTGAGCAATGCAAAATGTGGGCTCAAACTAATCTAATTACTTAGTCCATAGTAAGACAAACCACAACAATGACTGCCAGCATTTCCACTTGCTTCAAGCTGCCTGCATGTTTTAAAGCCTACTCTGATGAGCCTTTCACCAATTAAGTTTTACTTCAAAGTCATGTTTCCCAAACTAATTTACAGCTGTTGCTAGAAAACCCAAGGATTTCTGCAAGTACCCTACCAGCTGCAGTGAATCTGTAGCTGTCATGATCAAATAAAAACGTCAAAGAACATTTCTGCCCTTAAACCATTACAACCTAAACACCGCCTGAAAGTCAGAATTTCGTGCAAATATTTGAGTGACAGCAGAAGACAATGGGAGAGGACAAGGAGAAGGCTAAAACCAGTGCTGAGGCTGAGCTGCAGGCAGTGTGTTCGTACCGTTTGACCTGATGGAAGGTGGAGGATGTGGAATTCAGCGGTTCCCTGTGGAGGCCAGCTCTGCAGGAACTCTTCATGGTAACGCCCTCTCCAGGCTAAGGCACGTCCTCGTCACAGCCAGTCCATCCTGGGCTACACCCCAGGCTCCCCCATCAGCTCTGCCTGCCCCACACTCAGCTTCACCGTGTCTCTGCCACCTAGAAACTGAACAACAGAGAGCTGCGTGAGGAGGTGACAGGAGCAGATGATCAGGACATGGATTTTCCCACGAGAGAGAATAGATATAAATATAAATATATACAAACACAAACATGCTATGCATGCATAGATATAAAAGATACATATTCAGATTTAAAACAACTCAACATCATCATGCCAAGTGTTGCAGCTGGAGTTCCTGAACACCACCAAACACAAATGAACACGCCCCACCACAGCCTGTCTGCACACACGGAGTTTTTTCACCTTTTATCCAACTGCAGCTCTACCTTGGCACCTCCCACGGAACACGCTGTCTTCCCAGCTCCATGTAAACAGGACGCACAAGATCTCTCTGCTTGTTAGCACCACATCAGGCTTTGGAGGGAAGTGGCTGCTAGCAGTGAGATTTGAGGCTGCCAGGAGTTACGTTAGCGCTCTAATCAAAATAACGTGGTGGATTTTATAAAAGGACAGAAAACATGTCACCACGCAGCCTCCAAGTCTTGTGAAAACTGCCCTGTCTTTGCATCACATGCAGATAAGGCAGATTACACCAGAACAAAGCTGTTCTGCAGTATCTCTTGTTCTCCTGGGCTGCTGCCTTCTCCACCTTGTCCTTGGAGCAGACACCCTTACCCGCGCGTTAACGCACTTTGATGGAGAAACAGCAACAACCTTCGAGCTGGAACATTAAAGGGAAGAGTGACACAGCAAAAGAGCCCTGGAAAACCTCAAATACTCCAGCCTGGGCTGCCAGCAGATTGTTTGAGAGACCGTTTGCTTCCTCTCTAGAGGCCTGTGCACAATGATGCCGTAATAAAGGAATGCCATTTGAGGATGCTAACTATGGAGCTGTGTCCCCAGGGAGATGTGATTTAGTGCAGCAGGTTGTTCTCTCCTTTTCAGCAGCTCTGCCCAGCGTTCCTACTGCTGTCCTAGCCCTGCTTTTGCAGAGATTGAGCCTCTCACATCACCCCCTTCCCAATGCCTCCCACACAGAAGAGCCCCCACTACGCCCAGCCCAGCACTGCTTCACCAGTGTGGTTCACAATCAATGCTCCCACTAAACACTCCTGGCCTGGAAAACCTGCTCTAGGTAGCCACACTTGCCAGGAAAATGATGAAGGATGAACCTTCCAGGCAGGAAAAACAGAAGCTGGTTTAGATCCACCTGACTTGATGTCTGCTACAGCAATTCCACGGTTCGTTTAATGATGGCGAATAAGAGGTTAAGAGTTTGCCTACATTTGAGTAGCAGGAGCCTAAAATAATATATAAAATATTATATAAACACATTCCAGTCTTCATGAAGAAATCTCTGCTGAGCTCTACACAAGGCTAAGAAACGTGTGGGGTGGAGGAGATGGAGGCAGAGCAGGAGGAGGAGAGCATGTCCTCTGCCCAGGGATTCAGGGAGACCAGCAATGAAGCTGCCACGATCAGCAACAGCAGAAATTGAAGCTTTGTAGCTAAACACCATTTTCATCAGACTACCCAGAGTCTCTAACAAGGACCTACCTCTACGAGTGAAACCTAGGCACAAAACCAGGTGTTTCTGATGTTCTCATGCTGTAAAGATACACATTCACAAACAGTAATTCACAGAGAAGTAAAAAGCATATGCCCGGTGCTTTAGGAAAATCAAACACAAAATCGTTACTTTCCCATGAACCATCACTAAAAGGCACTGAAATTCTGACTTTTCTCCAAGCTTTTGTCTGGCTTTACTAACACTAGCATTTCAAACTCAGCAGGAACTGTATCACAGAAGCATGATTATATCCACACCCAAATAAATGCAACCACACCATTGCAAGAATGCCACTCACTCTTCCAACAGCTTACACCCTCTCCATGGATCCCTGGTCAAGAATACCACATGTTTTGTCCTAGTCCTACTCCTCTGGAGATCAATGGAGAAGTAAAAGATAAAAAGCCAGACAAAGAATTGAAACTCAAAGATATCTTGTTTGCAGAGCTCGAGAAGCAAAACCATCAAGAGAATCGGTTCAGGTCAGGAGCAGGCAGAACCCTGATCCAAGCACAGGCATTGTATGGTGGGATTTCGTGAGTTTAGGAAGGGACCAGCAACTACTAGAGGGAAGCAAAAGCTGACAAAATAGACACAGCCAAGTTCAGATGGGCACTGCAGCACAGCCCCAACCACAGCTCCATACAAAGCACGCTTTTTCCCCCCCTCTGTAGCTGCTGGGCTATAGAAAAGAGCTGAAATAGACTATAAATGCCAGCAAGCTCCTGACAAATTCCTACTGTGTGAAGAGTAAAAAGCTGTGCTTGTGAATTAAAAAAAAAAAAGGAAAAGAGAAAAAAAAAAACCCCAGCATTTAAGCTAGCAGATATACTTACTGTCTTTTAACTACCACTGTTTCTGTACCAAGGCTGATCCTTAGCAGAAGGAGCTGCAGCTGATTTAAGTTTTGCACAGAGTCAGGTACAGCCCAAAAAACTGCAATACAGATGCACAGAGAAACAAAACAGAAGAGGAAGTTAAAACCCTAATGGTGTTCTTCTCCCTCTCTGAAACCACCCCCAAACATATGCCTTTCTGCACAAGATGTGGGAAGGACTCTGCTTTTGGCAGCAGAAAGCAACACATCCTCTCAGCCACAGACCGAGCCCAGGGAACGGGCCCGCAAAATTCCCTCTTATCACCAGGTCTGAGCACTGCTGCAGCCTAGAAAAACAAATGTATCAACTCGACCAGGCTGCACTCAAGGTCTCCCCATCTGTGTAGCAATTCACCGCAGCTTCTGATATTTTGATTAGTGCAAGTGTGTTTTAGCTGTAGCAACAGTAACTGATCAACAAAGCGGTTCAAAGGGTGGGCACATCCTCTCAGAAAATTTACTTTCTTGAAAGGAGGCCCTGGCCTCGGGGCTGGAGCTGAGCAACAATCACCCTGTGGGTAAAAACACGTGTAAAAACACATCTGACCACCCCACCTCCATGCAGGGCAAGCTGTGGGATGTTCCATGGGGATGTCACTCTGGATCAGCTGGCAAAGAGCATCAGCACACTCAGGATGCACAAGGAAGCAGCAGCAAGTGATTCAGAGCAGAACTCAGAGGAGTTAGTAACAAAAACAGTCATTAGGGTGGGAAAAGTCAGTGCTGAGGCTTTATAATAAGATAAGGGTATTTGTTTTCTTGCAAGAACCAGTTCCATGTCCATTCTCCCACCATGGAGCTCAATCCTACGTTGTTATTTCATGATCCTTGTCTCCAAAAGAGTAATTCACCAGACATGCAATTCTGCCATCCCCCAGGCAAGTCATCCCTCAGGACCCCTCTGACAGCACCAGACTCTCCTAAGCAAGAGGCTTTGCCACAGGGTCTTACCCCATCCCAACATTCCCACAGCAGCTCCCAGGCCAGGTGTGACATGAGGGGATGGACACACAGGTCCTCACCCTCTCAAACCCCTAACCATTGCTTTTAACTATTCTTCAAGCAATATCTGCATATTTAAAGCACCTGAAGAACTGCCTTTTAACCCCAAAGGAGCCATCACAGGCATCATAAGCCTTGTGAAACCTTGTGTGCTCAGCTTCTCCCCTCTGTTTGCTGGTCCATCAGATCTGGCATTATCTGATCTAAGGGCAATGAAAGTGCCACGGGGGCTCCAGCTGGAATTCGTGTGGGGGAGTTTCCTGTGCCTTCTCCCACACCAACACCAGCTGATGGCACTTCTGCCAAGCACCAGGAACCAGAGCTGCCAAAGCAGCAGGACCTGGTTACCATTGCCCTGGGCTCATTTCCTCACCAAATTCACTCCAGCCCTTCCTTCCCAAAGCTCCTCCAAGCTCCCACCCTTGGATCCCACCAGACAGAGCAGCAATTCAAATGAAAACTGATGATTGCCATGTGAGCAGAATCAGCAGAGGTCACAAAGACAATGAGGGGTCTGGAGCACCCCTCTTGTGAGGAAAGACTCCAGGAGCTGAGCCTGTTTATTCTTTCCCACCTTTCCCTGTCTGATTTCTCACCTGAAGCCTCCCAAGGAGCTGGACCAGGACAGAATGAACCCAAATTGCTCCCTGAACCCACCTACCCCTGACCTGGCAGGAACCCACAAAGCCCAGCAGGACAAGGCCCTCAGAAACTCAATCCACACCTGGAATCACGCTGGAAAATGTGTGTTTTTTATGTCCTTTTAGTGGACAGGAACACTTCTGAATGCACAGTGGGCAAAGTGCAGAGTGTTTCAGAAGCAGGGAAATGAGCATGTAGGGCTCCAAGGCAACACTTGACTCCTCACTGCTGTCAAGCAGCTCTCCTTGCTGTACTGATAAGCATGTGAAATGCTTGTTCCAATGAAGCACTACAGGGAGAACCTGTTTTCCTTCCAAGATCACGTCAGGAAAGAATGAAAGGCTCCACATTTGTGGCTCACATGCTTCCTCACTAGGTGGGGTAAGAGTTGGAAGCACTAAGTCGTCCCCTCAAAAGGAAAATCTCAGAAGGGAAAAAGAAAATAAAGACAAGCTCTGCTGCACCCTCTTAGCCCTGCATGAGTATTGGGAAAAATAATATTACAAGTGTTTCCCTTGTTCAGCTATTCCTGAAAAGGTTTCAGCTGCCTTGCACAATCTGGGTAAGGACATCACTCGCTGCTCAGCTGGGAAGAAGTTAAGAACTGGCTCATTAGATTTGTTCTGCTTGATCCAAGAGGAAAACAAAACCAGTCAATCCCTCCCTGGGCAGTGCTGCTGCAGCTCTGCTGACAAACACACGGGGCTCACGCACCATTCTGCTTTCTAGAAAGCTGCCTTGGCACCCCTTGGCACTGTCACGTGCCCTGAATGACAAACTGGGGGTGGCAGGGCCCCTGTGAGCGTGGCTGGGGCTGCTGCACCCTCAGCTCATGGGGCAGGGCAAAAACCCTTCCTGAACACCCCCACATGACCCACGAGCCACATCTGAATTATTCAGCCTCTCAAAGTCCATCTGCTTTGCCATGCAGATTGTGAATTCATGAAAGCTCAGCTCAAAGGCCACTTTCTTGGGGGGGGGGGGGGGGAGAGGAAGGAGAAAGCTTCCAGAAGCTTTCCTATTATAGAAGCAATAGAGCTGGTTCCAAATATAGTAGAGCAGCACTCCCAGAGCTCTGGAGACGTGGTGCCCTGGTTTTGGGGGGCTGAGGTCTCACTGGATTGCTCCTGCACATGCAAAGATGGGTGGAAAGGGCTGCAAGATGCAGAACTGACGTGAAAAGGGAGTTTCAGGACAAACACCAGAGGCAGAAACCCAGACTGGCTCTGTGAAAGATCAGCCTGAACCCCAGGAGAGAGACAACCTGTCCCACTTTAGGGAAAGCCACTCAAAACCAGCAAGAATCCCATTTTTTCAAGAACACAACATAAGCTTGCTTTAAAAAATCCTGATTATTACTATTATTATTATTATTATAACCCCAACAATCATTTGATCAGCCTGTTTTGCCTGTGGTAGCAGGGATCCAGGCTGGAGAGGTGCACTTGACTCACTCTGGCATGCAGAGGGTGGATTTGTTTTTGTTGTGACAGCTCATAAAGTGACCATCACATGCCCTGCCCCACAGAAATTCCTCACCAGCTCACCAGGAACAGTTTGTTAGTGACCCATTTTAATTCCTGAAGTTTCCTTCTCCTGTTTCAGGGCAGATCTTGTAATACAACAGAAATAAACTCAGTTGCAAAAGTGTATCTTTGTGTATCTCTGCATCTGTGTACTCCAGCATAGGACTGGACTTGTGATTGGTAAATAGTAACAAAGTAAAATGTCACCAGGACAGCAAAAATCTCATACAGGACCCCACACAGGGAAGAAGGCCCCCTAAACCATGGCACAAAACGCACAGGAATAATTGATCCTGCACATCTCTCCATGGAGTATGAAATGGCTTCTAAAACAGCAGGAAAAAACCTGATTTCTAAATATCCATCAAATAAATAAATACAGTTCCTTCTTTAGAACTCTGCCAACAAGGAAAACCCCACACAGGTGACTCAATGCTAAGCACTCATTTCATCAGCTTTAAAACTCAATTCACTGAACGAAATATGGCTTTCCCAGGTTTCTGTGGCTCTCACTTGGTTGGAACCAGCCCTTGGGTTGCCAATTCTCCTTTCTGAGACCCCCCCATATTCCCTGATACAGGTCCAGATCTACACAGTGTAGCAGAACAAGGGGTAATTTACTTTTATTTACTTATGTAGAATTTTACCCTTTAACCAAAAGGTTATTATGTGCATTTCTCTGTCCTATGCCACTGTGGACACTTTTCCAGCAGAGACAGAGGCACAAAAGACCCCCAAAAAACACTCCCCAAAAAACCCCAAGCAAACCAAACCCACGCAAATGACTCAAAGCAGAACATGCAGTTTCCTCCACATGGATTCATTCCAGTCCACTGCAGGGCTGAGAGGTTCCAAAATCCATCAGGCATCTCTAAAGTGTCCAGATTTTTCCTAAGGGTCTCCAAATCCAAATTCAGCAAACCTTACTCAGCAGCACAAACACTGGATTAAATATAATAGAACCAAAAAAAGAGCTTTAAGAAGTAACTGTGCCATTACTTGCAAATATTTGGATAGGTTGGATAAGGCCTTAAGCAACCCGGTCTAGTGGGAGTTCCTGCACATGGCATGAGGTTGGCATGAGATGATCTTTAAGGTCCCTTCCAACCCTTAAACATTCTATGATTTCATTATTTCTGTCATTCAAAATGCCCAAATTTTTGCTATCATATTCCTGAGTCCTCTCTGTTCTCACATAAAAGCATTTTTCAGTATTTTTGGTATCAAGGTCTCATGAGTTGTCACAAAACCTTAAATCTTTTCAAATTTTTGTCTGAAGTAGGGCACTGCTGGTGCCCCAATGTCACATTTTCACAGAGAACCATCTTCCACCTTGCAAGGACAGTGCAAAAATGCTGAACTCAGAAATCCCCAATTTACAGGTCAGCAGTTTACAGAAAAGTCTGCTCTGCACTCAGGGAAAGAGCTCTCCAAGTGTCCCCAACTTCAGGACAGATTTCATGCAGAAACAAGTTCAAACTATTTTTCACATTTTAGAACAAAGTGCCTCATTACATCTGCAAACTTGCACCAGAACAGATTCCTCAGGAACATCTAAAAACAACCTACCCACCCACCCACAAACAGGACACAGCCTCTGAATAAGTTTGGGATTCACTGGGCTTTCCAGCTGTGCCTTGAAAACAAAGCAGAAAAGGTCCTGAAGAACAGGTTACAATCTAAGACCAAAAAAAAAGAAAATAAAATTAAAAAATGAAATAAAATTTTAAAAAATCATAAAAATCACTAATTAATGTCAGGTTCTAACAGAGCTTCTACTGGAGAAAGTCAGGGCTACCCCAGGCCCTTTCCAACCTGCTCCTCATGTCCCATCACAGATGTGGCTCAGCCCACCACTCAACCAACTGGTGCCACTGAGGAAACATTTA